GTGGTGGTTGTTCTCCCTTTTCATTCAGTTTTCTGGGCACTATAGTTCTGATGATGAGCAGGTCATGAGAATTAGTAAAATGGTTGCGACTCACTTGCAGCACCCAGCACGCCGGTGAGTTATTTGGTTACCTTCTACACTTGAAATAGTGTTTTTCTGATGCTTATTTCTTGAAGTGTCTTCTTCTTCTTCTTCTTCTTTTTCTGTCATAGTTCCTGACTGTGTTTTGCATTAAAAGCTTGCATGTTTGTGCAGTCATGTGATAATTGTTGGAGCCTTGGAGGAATTATTTGCGTTATTTTGGAATACTTTGTAAATTTAATTATTTTGGGTTAATCTTCAATTCATGTAATAGTAGAATGTTATATTCTCTGGGTATATTTAGGTTATTTTTAAGTGTCCCATACTCCCATTTCCATTATATTTAGGTTAATTATGTCGATAACTGACCTACTTCTGTGATGACCCTGTTTCTTGGCCCAATATAATGAAGCGCCATGGAGCTAGAATTGGTGATGCTCATTTATTGATGTCAGCAAAAATTGTCAGAAATGTGTAGTTTTCCTTGGTCTTTTCAGTGCGTGGTAAAGTGCCTGACCGTAGCTAACATGTTAATGAGGTTGTTGATACCCAGCTTTTAAATAGCTTGGCAGTGTCTGTTTCTGATAAATTGGTTATTATTTTTAACTTTTTTTATCCCTATTTTCTGTGCTTTCTCCAAGCATTTTTGATGTAAAGCTTCTATACTCATTTTGGAGTATCTGTTAATATACATCACATCTTATTCATCATTTAGACTAATGGATATTGGAATATACATATCTTCAACATTTTAGGGCGTCGGATATTGGGGTACGAAGTGATATTATTGCTCGAGATCTGAATCTTCCGGTGGATAAAATCAGGTTCTCTCTCTTTCTCTCTCTCTCTCTCTCTCTCTCTCCCTCTCAGACACACACACACAGTTGATTTGTGTGTATGCACTAATTTGATCTCTTTTATAAATTCTCTTAATGTAAAATTTGTCTTTTAACAGGAAAGCTTTAGATTATCTTCAAAGTGAAGCCATTGTTTACTCAACAATTGATGACCACTTTAAGCTTATTGACTGACATCTATTAACGTTTAGGAGAACCAAAACTTCAGGCTACTCAGGGTTTAACCTCTTTTGGTTGTCTATATTAGGAAGATGTAAATGCATTCTAAGGAAAATGTTTAAAGTGGTCTTTTCTCTCGCAGCTTGGTTTTCTATGGATTTCTGTTATGTATCCGAGTAGGCTATAAGTAACCTTCGATGAATTTGCACTGTGGCTTTCATTTCTGTGAATATTAATTTTAACTAAATTTAGGGTCTCAACTTCCAGCGTGGTTCCTCATATACAATGTTAAATAACCCTCAGTTTATTTGTGGTCCCTAAGCTCTTACAAGGTTATTGATTTAACCCTCAAAAAGTGATATCTGTGGTCAAACAAGCTCCAGTCCTTTCTTGTAACATTTTAAAAATAACTGAATGCTAATGTTGATTGCAAATCATGCAATATGACAAAGCCTCTGATTATGGAAAAACTATATCAAACAAACAATTGATAATCCAATTTCTACAGATATCCCGGGACCCATCGTTCTACATATGTCCAAAATGAACATGGTAATACACAGAATGAAGAAACCCTTTTTTTTTCTTGATGAATGAAGAAACCCTTTTTTTTCTCTGGATGAACGAAGAAACTCTTTTTTTTTTTTTCTTGATGAATGAAGAAACTATTAAAGAAAACCCAGAGAACAACAATAATATGTACCATATGAACTCCAAAAGCTTTAAAAATAGGAATAGAATATGAATTCTGCCATGTGAGAGCCGATGATGAAGCAATAATAAACAAATATGGTGCATAGCAACCGAACGTGAGGAATGATTCGCATCACACCACAAATCAAATCATGGCTTGTTTTAAAATTTTTTATACTCAGTTTGACCAGAGACGAACTGTGCCGCAGATTTCGTTGAACTTTACATAAAAATATTTCGTCCTTTTAGAGTGAACAGAATCTAAAGCGAATGCAAACAAGTCTTGCCGAACCCTCTCCCAATCTCCTTTTTTCATTCTTTTCTGGGGGGTTCTTTTTAATGTGCGGGATTTGAGGGTCTTTGGCTAGGAAATAGGCAACCGGATTGAGATGGCAGAACCTAATCTTGATTTGCATGTGGGGCGTTTGCTTGGTTTTTCAGTGTTTTTTCTTGGTGATTGGGGTGGTGGGAGTCACTAAGAGACAGCTTCTTGCGTTAGCTCTTGGATTGGGACATGTGTTGGCCGCAGGAACCTGAGTGGAGCTGCCAATGTTTTGTGGAAGATGATGAGAGATCTTGTTTGTTTTATACCTAATAGAGAGTATTATTGTTCGGTCTAATTAGGCAGATTGCATAATTGGGAGCCTTTATATTAGTGGGGCTCGTGAGGTCATGCAGGGCCCTTAATCCGTGGATTTTAGTTGAACAGTCTGCAGACACAATTTTGAAGAGAATATTAAACCAAACTGTTAGTATGTGATTGGAATAAGTTTCTTTCTCAAAACATTCGTAGGATCTTGCGTAGAGGATTTCCATACGTAGTTCTGATTTGACAACAAGAATGACTTAAAATATGTACACAAAGGATATCCAATTATGGAAAGCACCCCTCTTGTAAAAAGCTATGGAACTATATATCATCATATGCCAGTGTAAGTTTATTCTTATTTTATTATGAAAAAAATGTTATGCGGCTAAGATTGCATATTATTTTTTTTATAATAAAATAAGAATCAACTAACATTGGTATATAATGGTAGTTGGAATGCATAATATTAATTATTAGATGTGATTAGATTTTTAATATTGAGAATTCTCGTCTTATCTAATTGTTTATATTTCACATTGTTTAAATATTTTATAGTTGGAATAATTTGGATTATAAAATATGATTTTCTTTTATTATGATATTTCAATTTATCTTTTAGTCTTTTTGAGTTTGTTTTGCTGATAAAATAAAAAACTTTCTGAGTTTATTTCTTCAAATTTTAGAGTGAGGGTTCAAACGTGTGATCTCTCAACTTACAAACTTAACATGTCTCATCTTTAGCGCATGGGAAGATGATGAAAAAAGAATGCATAATCCACATATATAGATAGTTTTCCTCTCCCTTCCTATTTCCCCTTTCATTTCTTTATTGTATGAAATGAATTGATATTTGTTATTTAAAATATCAATTGCCCACAGCACCCCCTTTTGGGCTCTGGCATACTCTAGCTAGCTAGGTGCCGCATTATACCCTTAATTACTAAAAGATACAATAACAACGAACAATTAGTACCATGAGTGCATTCAACATATATATACAAAATGATGCTGGGGCAGTCCTCTGACACGTGCGACTGATATTTTTGGAAGCAATTAGACCTGGCAAACGGGTGAGTTGGGTCGGGTCAAAATGAGTAACGGGTCAAAACGGGTTGGGTTAACATGGGACACGGGTCAATGAAGGTAGATCCTAACTCGCCCATCACAGGTCACGGGTCAACCCGTAATTAAATTTTTTTCTTTATAATTTGTACCTATTATCATTTAAAAAAAATTATTCAAAAGATTTCAAAATGGAATTCAACATCTTATAAAAAGAATTTTTTTCCCATATACATATTTATAATTCTTTATAATCATCTTCTCCACTTCCCTTCAAAGAACAACATTAATCAAACTCAAGAACAACGTTAATCAAATTCAAGAACACCACATACTTATAAATCTCAATAGCAAAAAAAAAAAAAAAAAACAGCATAACAACCAAAAAGCACAAACCCAGATGGAACATATTTGTTCTGGTCGTTGCTTTCAAAGAATCAATCAATTGAATGTATCTAAGCAAAGGACAAGATCAAGTAGAATTTTTACTTGGAATGGAGAGAAAATTAAAAAGCATAAATAAGTAAACAACTTACCTTAAAGGCTTTAGAGAGAGAAGTTGGTGGCAAAGAGAGCACTTGTCTAACTTGAAGGAAAAGGAAAGAAAGGGCTAAGTGGACGCGATAGTGACTTGGTGAGACTAAGATTTAAGTCTGAGATAATGTTAAAGACTAAAGAGAAAATGTGGAGTCGAAACTTGAAAGTCGAAGGCTGTATGAACTATGGAGGTTAAAGAATATGAGAAGAGTTTGAACTTTGAAGAGTTAGAATCTTAGAGAGTATTAGGGCAAGCAAGAATAAGAGAGGTCAAGAAGTGAGTCAGAAGTGGAGTGAGATTATTTTTACTTCTAGAAGATGGTGAGTTAAGAGAATCAATTAGTTAATTAGAAAAAATTAGTAAATTATTAGAGATTTAGGTGGGATTGAGAATTGAAAAAAAAAATAATAATAATTTTTTTTTAATTTTTAGATAAGTAAACGGGTCAAACCCATCAGATTGATGAGTCAATCCGTTATTGACCCATGACTCGTCGGGTTCTCTTAACGAGGGAATTTAACTTGATTCAACTTTAAATTCATCCAAATTTAATATAAAATGTAACTAGGTGGGATTGAGAATTGAAAAAAAAAATAATAATAATTTTTTTTTAATTTTTAGATAAGTAAACGGGTCAAACCCATCAGATTAACCCGTTATTAACCTGTGACTTGTCAAGTTTTCTTAACGGGTCATAAATATATGACCCTAACCCGTTTTAAATGGAAAGGTAATGGACGAGTTAGCGGATTGAGTAAAAAATTGCAAGCAATACTGTTTTGAATTAAAACGTGTCTTGTAGGTGACATGCACACATGTGCTTTGGCATCAGCGAATCTGTCCTCTTACTACAGAAAGATTGGCGGAACAGTCCCCCTCTTCTGCTTGCCATGTGCCCAATTGGATACCTATTAACTTATTTAATTTGTCTGCTTCTATCTAAAACATGCAAACATAATCATTGCAAGTCTGTTATTTCTTAATCCGAATTGGTAAAAAAAAAAAAAGTTTATTGGTGCGTGAAATGCTTAAAATATCCTTAATGAATTAGTTTAATACAAGAATTCGTTTGAACATCTTAAAGTTGAAACACTTCATACCAGGATTAAAAATGTATATATTTTGCTAATTCAAAAATCATTCTATGGAGAGGCCTCCTCCATTATTAGGGAGTTTCTTTTTAATTCAATGATTAGGGTTTTGTAGTTTGATATAATTGAAATTATATAATATTTTTTTGAAATTATATCATAAAAAATTATTATACAATTTAAATTATATTAAATTATATAACTAAAACTGTTAAATAAAAGGTGAAACTTATGATATTAGGAGTTATCTCTTATCAATGATTACTGTTTTATAATCTTATGCAATTTAAATTATAAAATATAATTCCTTTAATTATACTTGCTTAAAAAAGACAAAAAAAAAAAAAAAAAGAAAAGAAAAGAAAAAAAGGCACTCCGTGTGGTGGCGAAACTAAACTCAAACGGAGCCAAGAGGCGGGAGTTTTACTCTTGCTTCCACCGGGTAATGAGTAGTCAAAAAGAGGGGAAAAAAAAAGTAAGAACTTTTATATTTGTTGGACACAAAGTGAATAACGCGGCTGAATTTGGGACCAATTGTTTTTTTTTTTTTTTCAGCAAAATTGGGACCAATTGTAATGATTCTGAAAAAATTACCAACTCAAACTCTCGGTGTCCTTTTTCTCACCCTCTTGCTTCCCCTCTCTGGGGATACTATAAAAATCTAGGAATAATTCCTTAAGTTCACCCCCTCAATTTACCTTTTTTTTTTTTTTCAATGCATCCCTCAAACTTAAATTTTGAGTTCCTTTTCTGATCCTGCGTACCTAAAGGAACAGTAGCTACTAGTTTCATTTGTTGCAATAACCATTCACATTTAATTAACCTAAAAATGAGTTAATTGTTAGATTAAGAACCAAAATGCTATGCCGTTCAACAAAAAAAAAAAAAAAAAACCAAAATGCCATATAGTGGCAATTCCAAATACTAATCCATGTTTTGTATGGTAGTGCTCTAAGGGTGACTTAATTTCTTAAAAAATTAAAATTTTAAATTAAATATTTTAAATTTAAAATTGATGTTAATAAAAAATTAAAAAAAATAAAAATTATCTACTATTATATAATTTATTATTAAATATACAAATAAAAAAATTTATGTATTATTTGGGACTACTTCGGTCTAGAGACACCGCCCTATAATCCTATAGAAGCCTTCCACTTAATTTGTCTTGCACAATCCTTGTCAGTTATTTATATTTAGGTTTTGGCATTAAAACAATACGAATTGGGTCCTCGTTTCTCGTGCATCTCTTTCTTCCCACCTCTATATCTGTGTCATCCCTTCTTTGGTTTCTCTAGTCTCCACCGTGGTTTTTCTCTCTTTTTATCTCCACACCGAAGTTTGAAGCATTCTTTCTTTCCACTATTTCCAAAGAGAAAACGATCTTACTTCATCTCTTCACGCTCTCCCACGACATACCATGAACCCCAGCATGCGCACCAACAACTTGGATTCTTCTCCTCAAAACTGCCTGCCTTTCTCTCTCTCCTGCCCCCACTTCAACTTGCCCTCCTCTTCTTCTCATCATTACTCTGACCTCTGCCTGGTTCAACCTTTCACCAACACCACCACCTTCTCCAACCCGGGTTTGTACACAAGAGAATAACCTCTTTTTTAATCATTTACCATGTTATTCATTTATATATTTTTACGTGTAAATCAATTATGGTATATGTTCTTATCTATCCATTTAATATTTGATAGTGGAAGATAATGCTGTGGATAGAGCACAAAAAGAAGATGCGGCGACGGGTGCAACGGACCTATCCATGTTCACCGGTGGGCCGAAGTTGGAGAACTTCCTTGGCGGTTCCACCGCAGTGGCGGTGCAACAACTTCCACAACTGGCTCAATTCTCCACAGGAAGTGGTAGTACCGATCCTGTGACGGTTTCTGATACAAGCTATTTGTACGAGTCTGAGCTCAAAGGCTTAGCATCTAGCTTCCTCCGTGGATATTGCACGGAGCAAACAGAAACAGACGCCCGCAAACAACAACAGCTAGTCCCAGCTGATCACCCTACGCCTAAGAAAACTGTTGATACTTTTGGACAGCGTACCTCTATCTACAGAGGGGTCACAAGGTAAATAACAAAACTGTTCCTGTTTAGTTGCCTTGAATTTCCCTCAACCGTAAAACATAAATCCCCAAATGGCGATAATTTTCAATATCTAGACCTGTCCTGTCTAAAGATTTGAGTGCACTAATACTTTTTTTTTTAGAACAAAAACTTCATTGAAAATTTTAAATAAATACAAGAGGAAATTGCTAATATAAGTCCTTTTGCTTCTTACATTTAGACATAGATGGACTGGTAGATATGAAGCTCATTTGTGGGACAATAGCTGCAGAAGAGAAGGGCAGAGTAGAAAAGGAAGACAAGGTAATCAATTTATTTATTTATTTATTTTTGTTTTGGGGACTGTTTTTAAACGTGCGCCTCGGTGCATATTGGTCCATAAGATTTTTGATAACATATTCATTTATGGAAGATTCTAATGTTGTTGTGCTTTTGTTCTGGCATTGACTGAATGATTGTTGCTGCCATGGATGGATTACTGGCGTGTTTCATCTTCAGTTTATTTAGGTGAGCCCCAGATCAACAAATTGACCCTCTAAAATACTCTAATAAAGATCATTATTGATTTCTATTCTTTTATAAATTGCAAAAAAAAAAAAAAAAAAAAAAAAAAAAAAA